CAACGAAGCGTACGCCAGTCGAAGCCAAGAGCAGCCAGTTTCTTGAGGAGAATGCTGTGGGAAATGGTGTCAAAAGCCTTGCTGAAGTCAAGGTAGACCACATCCACAGCCTTTCCCTCATCCACCCAGCGCGTTACTTTGTCATAGAAGGAGATCAGGTTCAAATGTGATGCTGATAACTCCAGAGCTGTGGCTATAAATTCACAAAGTGATTAGAAGCTGCTCTCTATTGCTGTCTCTATTCAGCAAGCACCTAGTTATTGTTCAAATCCGAGTAGAAAAAAAATAAATAAATCACTACAGATGTTCTTGATTTGATTAGAAGTTTTACAATTTTTCTCCTAGATCACAAGACATGGATTTGTGAGTTGATAGGACATTTTTAAATGTTAAGATCAGTCTGTTTTTAAAATGTTGTTTGTAATTTTTTTTGTTTGTGATCTAAAAGCCCGTGCAATTCTGTAGGTTCTAGACATCAAAAATCCAGTGCAAGTGTTATAGGATACTGTCTGTTAACAGTGATATTCTATTATATATATGAAATTAAGAAATCCATTTTAGTAGCTGGATGAGCCAGCTACCTTTGTGCTGTCAATATCCCTTCTGAAGCTAACATCAAGGGATCATACATCTGAGGAATTTATTAATGTTACATACAGAAGAGAAAGGTCTTCTCACCCTTTAATTAACCAAGTATGGATACAAAATTTTACGTATTAGATTTGTGGTGTTCTTGTTTTCTACACACCATTTAAAAAAATTAACTGCAACAATGCTCCAGCCTGAAGTCTGCCCCCATAGCTTGTCTTCATGTATGGCAAATGGAAATCCCAAGGGAAACCACGGAGGAAACAGTAAAAACAAGAATTATATTGGTCTGGCAATCTCTAGTTTATCTTGGGATTCCAAAGCTATACATTTCATCTGAACTATTATTCTTTATATTCATTAATAATCTGTTTTGTGTCTTTACCTAATTGGTTTCTGATAGCCTTTACCTAGCTAGACTTTGCAAGAAATACATGCAAGGATATGACCATAATCACGCTTTTCACTGTGAAAATTGCCTACTTATTCCAGTCCTTTGCTTTCTACCTTTTAAACCAGTATTCATTTAGAAGTTTTATATTTCACAACAGCTTAATTGCTTTGTTTGTTTTGGTGACATTATGGCATCAAAATCTATCTGAAAACTAAGCATGTTGTATCATTAACCCAGACCAAAAAACTTGTTGGATCAATGGAAGAAATACAGCTATATGTGTGAAGTGTCACATCCCTGTATTACCTCATCCTGGTATGACAGAACTGTATCTCTTACCTATGAGGCCTCTACTAATTTTTGTAATTCCTATCAGACAGGTTGGTGTGGTAATTACTTTTTCACACCTGTAGTTGACAAGTTCACTTCTGAAAATATGCGTAAATACCAATGTGATATTTGCCATCTTTCATTCCTCTGACACCGAGTCTGTGTTACACGTGAGACTTGATATTTAACCAAGTGTTATGACTGAACACAGGCATTAAATTGCTGCAGAACTGCTGATCCTGTTGATTGACTGTTGTTCAATTTATTTAGTTTTGTTTGGTGTTTTGTATGTTTTCAGTTGCTTTAACATCTCTGAACCTTTTCTCTGTCAGTAGATGGCATGGGAGCTGTCTTAGCAACAGTAGGAATACCAATACAAATAATGATTTTAGCTCTTCTATAACAGCTTTATGCTCACTGGATAAAGTTCTTTCATCTCTTGATCACCAGCCAGGTCTTCTGGCTTTCATTTTTAAAAAGTTCCAATATGGGAGAACTTTGCTATTAAAGGCGTAAAAAGTGGTAAACTGCTTCTTGGTCCTTTGGCCTACACTGTTGTGGTATTATATGTAAACTGTCAGAGATTAAGTTCTTAACAATTTTTGTTGTTAGGGTATGATCCATATTTCTGTGAATGTATCTTTCTGAGATGTAGTAGTCTGCATTTCAACTTTTTATTATTATTATTATTATTTAATGTAGTTTACCTTTCTAAAGTACTTTTACAAATAAAAGTGACTGACTGACAAATAAGGACTGAGTGCTTTGTGAACTTTGTCATTCCACATAGCAAGCAAGTTTCCATGGCGTCCCTCATGATACCTTTTACTCTAATGTCTGTGTTCTTAATAACTAGATTTGCAGTGGTGTCTGTATTTTAGCTGACCAGCTAGTCTTCAGAAGAGCATGGCTGGAACATGAGGCTGTAGGACATAACATTTCTGAGTCTGGTTCAAAATCTGTTTTATCTTTTTAGATCTTATGCTAATGTCAGTCAGGGTAAAGCTTATTAAACTGAGTGTCAATGTTGAGCATTTCAAAAGCCATATCCATAATACTTAATACATAAGGCATATTGTACCATTTTGGAATTGAAGGTCATGCTGTTCACTCTGGTGTCTCTGGCAGAGAGAAGCAAATGGATGTTGCAAAAATGACAGAGGGATACTTTACTGACAACATTTGAATGTAATTTAAATTCTAAAGATTAAACGTCCTCAGACAAATAAATAAATGACCAGCTGCTAGACATGACTGTGCTTGAGGTTTTAGCCTGCCCTGCACTCCAGTTGAAGCGGGCTCATTGAACCAACATCATTTGGTCACAGCAGGGCTGGGCGAGAGTACACACAAGCTGAAGCACTGTCAGTCACATTCAAGGCGTAGACAGGGTCAAAACTACAGTAACACCACAATGTTTGATCATATGCTCATAGCTTCATAGCTAGAGATTTTAGAAAGCCCTGAAGCAGCAGATTTACAATTTCTGTGTTTACAGTTGCATTTTTTAACAATTTCCATTGGCACTGGGTTTCACCACAACGCAATGTGAAAAAAAAAAAAAAAAAAAAAAAGTTGTTTATCATTAGTCATCTTTTCATATAATTGAATATTTCTTTGTCTTAAGCAGAGGGAACACAAATGTTTCTTCGAGATTCTTTTCCCATTCTTCATTCCATGTACATTAAGTCACTTATTACTTCCTTTTATTTAACATAACCAACCCTGATATTTTTCAGTCAAACTTGTTTCTCAAATCCTTGACAATTTCTGTAAGTTTTCACAGAACATTTCATTATGCTTTGCTTTCTTAAAGAACTGTGCATTTAAGTCTTAAGAAACCACTGCAAGTTAAATAAGAAAAAGAAGTATCCTCATCTGGCAGGGAAACCACAACAAAAATGAAAGAAACACATACGCAGGGAAAGGTTCAGGTACAAAAATAACCAACTCTGTGTGATATCTGCAAGATATCCCTTACATGTGTAGGAATTAGTCTAGATGCCATGTATAGCTAACCCTTCCTCTTTTATGAGCCTGCCTCCTGTCAGTGACTACATAAATTCATAGATTAGGAACCTTGTACCACTAAATTAAAGACTTAAAATCAGAGGATCTGAACCTCTTTCCACAGAGACAACTTTTTTTTTTTTTTTTTTTAATAAAGGTATTATTCTCTCATATTAGTGAGAGTAACATTTAATCTAAATACATCTAAATACATTTCAACTTTAAATACATTTAAACTTATAGCTCTGATTAGCTGAAGATTAGACAGTGTACCTGAAGCGAATTAGTAAATCTAATCCAGGCTGTCATTGTTCAAAGCTAGCTAAGCAAAAACTAGTCAATTTCTCTATCCTATAAAATATGTGAGTTCTAGCATTCCTATTCCTCTGTATTTTAACTTTTACTTTGAAAATTCTGGCTTTCATTTTTACTTTGTTATTTAATTATATACAGGGAAACATTAACAAAGGTGACTCTTCAGAAACAGTTCTTTTGTTCACACAATTATAGACAATGCTCACAGTTTCTTTGTACTAATGTTCTATTCACTCAAAAGGTCTTAAAATCTGAGTTTTAATAATTATTGTGGTTTTGTTTTCCTCGTGCACACAACTTCTTTCACTCTTATATTATGTTTTAATTTTTTGGACTTCTATGAAATCTATGCAAATCACTTTTTGTTATAAATAAGAGTTTCCACAGAGGAAAGAAAATAAATCAAAATCATTTGTACTTATCTTAATATTCATAAAAGCTTACTTTGGTTTTCTCCCCAAATCTAATTTTGGGGGACTAATTAAGGTTGTAATGGCCCTCCTAAGCTATTAAATTCCTTACAGTCCCTTTTTAGTCCCAATTTTATTGACATTTTAGAATTAGTTCAGAGATCACAACTGCCAAAGTCCTTTGATCACACACAGCAGGCCCTCCCGCTGCTGCTGCTGTTCAGAGCATTCATAGCTACAGCTGCTCCAAATGAGATCAGCCAGCTTGCTCTCAGGGCTGTCCCCAAGCTTGCTCATGTAACTGCTGTACTTCCATCAGCTCAACCCTAACTGTTCATATTCCCAGAATGCTGAAGGGCCAAAACTACACTGAATGAGGTTCTCCGGCTCTTGCCTTCTGCCCTGTGCAGTTCCAGGGAGCATTTCAGCGCTCTGTTGGCAGCACGCTGTAATGCCCAAGTTTCCTCTCCATCTGGGAGCTGAGCACAGGGGGAACCTGCTTCTTTCCTGGTTTACTGTTACAGCTTTCATCCAAGGATAATGCTTGGTCCCCACGCTGTTGCTCCTTTTCCCTGTGTAACTTTAGAAGAAACTTTTCCATTGACTATGGCTAATTAATAGCTCATATATGATAAATTATTAATTGATGTCCTAAGCCTGTTCTGCACTTGAGTCATATTTACTTATGAAGTGCTACTTGTTACTGAAGGTAATAAGTGTGGTAGGTGCTTTTTAAATGATATTCGTGCATAAGTAGAAGAAACCTACTATATTCTGAATTTAGCATAACATTTAGTGATTGAACAATCTAACAACCATATGTAAATTATTTAAAAATATACCCTTAATATAAATCCAAACCCAACATTACATTGGAAGTTTTGCAATAAATTTCTGTAATTAAATTTTTATGATATGATTTATATTTCATACACTCTGACACTTAACTGCCTTCTTCCATATGAATCATTCAAAATTTAAACCTTTATAATGGTTTGAAGAGAAACAGATAGCAGAGCAGAGTTTGGAGTAAAATAGTACCACATATCCCACATCATGTAGGTATATTTGAAACAGCTGCTCTGTGAATGGTTCAGCTGCTGACAAGCAGTTACTCCCATCCCTGGATGTAGCCCATTACCACCTAGTAGTGATACTCAGCCCACAACAGTTGTTCATTTATTTTATGCTTGTACTAGTTAATCTGTTTGTTTTGGTATGATTTTAATGCTATAGGCTATGAGCAATAGCAAGGGCCCAGCAGTGTCTGTGCAATTTATGAAAGGCTCTCTAGCCACTGTCTCAGGAGCTTCAAATTCCTATATGTGCTGTTTAAACTCTTCTCTCTTTCAAGTATTTATACTAACAGATCATCTCATCTTTTCAACTCATTTCAGTAAGTAATTGTATCTTGTTTATGAGTGTTGCAACATACCTAAGTGTTTAAGAATGCATTGAGTAGCGATCCTGTAATTGTTTCTAGCATGCAGGAATAGAGTAATTCTATCCATGAGACATACTTCATATGCCTGATGATTTGGTGTGACCTTTTATTTTTTGTCATAGTAATTTTCCTGCTTACCCTTGTTCTCCCAGCCTGCTTTTTCCTCTACCTGTTCCTTTACTGTTTTTAAGTGTGCTCTAAAGCTAAGAGCAGTTCCCGTTAAATGCATTTTTGATGACATGAACTACAATGATTACCTTCTGCTCGACTTTACGTTTCTGTACCTGCTTTACTTCAGAGCAATAGGAAACCAAATAGCAGCACTCAGTGCTGGTCTGTGAAGAGCTTCCATTAAACTTGCTTGGCATAATTTCTTTCAAAGAGTAAGTAATTTCCTAATTTATTATTAGGATCAAGTTTTCAGAGTGAGGCTAAGTGGTAGACTATTAGTTCTGCTAAGTTTGCATTCAAGAGCCATTGTTTCAACAAGTTCATCTGAAGTAATTAATCAGGATTACAGAAGTCAAACATTAGGAGTAACTTGGTCGAATAATATAAGTATGTTTGACTGATAGATATGTATGACATACATGACTGGAATTTCTTATTGACAGCAAATAAAACACCTTTTTCCACACAAGACCTTTGTATCCTGCCTTTTGATATGCTTTTCACCACTTCAAAGAACACAGATTCTTTTCTCTGATGTAGGTAAGGACTTCAGAAATGCATTTAATTTGCATGATGATATATTTACTTTATATTTCCATTATGATTAGAAATTTGGGATGATTTATTTCCAACACTCTATATCTAAGTAACATCACAATTTGATGTAAAAACTTCACTGCATTTCTTTGGTGTAGTGCACACAAGGAAACTGAGGCACCTTAAGCAACCAAAGAAAGAAACCTTAAGTAATCAACCAACATCCCAATAAACAGAGTATATACCAGAAAGTATTTCTGTACTCAAAACTCTCCTGCTGTTTCAGTTTCTATTATTTGCCTCATTGGTTGTGTTTGTTTGTTTGTTTTTAATGTGTGACAAAGTAAGAGAAGTTCCTAAAATCAGAGAAGAAAAGCTTTGAAGTATGCAGGGGTTGTGTTTCTTGCCATGGAGACCACATGCCTATGAATGTTTGCAGCTGCCGGCTTCCAGTAACAGATGCTGAAAAAGAAGGTGGTCTTGCCAAGGGGATGGCTGCACCCAGAGCCTTCCAGCACAGACAACCAGGGTAAGGGACGCAGAGGTTTCCTCCACCCAACTATGTATTTACTTTGCAAAATGGAAGGATGATTTAACAGTTCCATCGCCTGTAAGAGAACCAGCACCTTCAATTCTTCCAACAAAAAATAGAGGAAATTAAATGGGATGAAATGACTATTCTGTGAAATAGTTCATTATTAATGGAGAACAGAAAGGAAGAGGAAAAAATACTGCAGATTGAATGAAAGAAACTTTTTAGCAGTGAAATAGGGACACCTTAGCTTTGACTTAAAAGGGCGTCCATAAGAATATAATTATGTAAATGTCAAGAAGGCTAGAAGTGGTTTTAATGTACAACATTAAGATATATATTAATAATATGATGGAATTAGGAACAGAAAAACCTATACTAAGTATCATGAAAAACGTTCTGACAGGAAGATACATTAGGCTGTAGAATAGTTTCCCATAGGGAAGCCATCACTTAAGGGCTTTTTCTTCCATCATAAGTTCCCCAATTCTATGAAGATTCATATTCAGCTCTTCATGTCCAAATGGCAAATTAAACAAGAGAGATAATTTAAGCAGGTCCCTAAGTCCCTCAGTAATTTTAAGGAAATTCAGTTACATCCTCTTATCAAAATATCCCTTGTTGGGGTTAAGAATAGACCCCTCCATATATATTTTATCAACTCATATTTAAAAAATAATTTTATTTAACTAAGAAATGTGGATATTTCTCCATGTTTTGGTCTGAGACTTTTATGTATCTTCTGTCACCTACTTGGCCTTCTGCAAAATTGTGGGGCTTTTGGCTATATCTCGGATAAAAAATGGAGCTGCACAAAATATTTGAGGTTAAAAAAAATGTGTGAAGTGCATGTTACATGGAATGTCAGAGTTTGGGGGTCAAAAGAAAAGCTACTCATTTCATCACAGAAGTACAGTTGCATTTAAAGGTTAACAGTACCAGCAATCTGTTTGAGGCTGGAGGCAAACTGAGTCTCTAGTCTTTGAAACAATGTGTCTATGTCCTTTAGTATGATCAAAATGCTGTCCTTTGAAGTAATAGGGCATATCCAGAGGCAATGGAAACCTTAGGGTTTCTGGCTTTTGCCAGAAATTTAAGCTTTGAGCTTCAACTTACACTGCATTTTTCATTGTTTTCATAGGATTTTCCTTTATTTTGTCCTATGGTTTCTGATGAACGATTTTACATGTTTCAGTTTTCATATAAATTGTGAGGAAGATTTCTTTATTTTTTATTTTGCAATGTCACTTTCATTAGCATTGTAGTTTGGGTTTGAGGCAAGATGGTTTTTAAGGTCCATTATTTTTTGTGCTGCAACTATGAGAGAAATAATAGTCTAGCGTTCTGGTTGCAGTCTCAAAAATGTGGATTGAATTCAAGGCAAATTATCTAAATTATCTAAATGAAATTAAGCAGTTAATATTAGGAAATGTTTAAGTAATATGCACTGAAAAGTGGAAGATAGTATTTTGAGAGAGACCTTAAGCACGAAGAGTAATAAAACATTATATACCTTTTTGGCTGTTCATCCCATATTTTATGAAGTCTTGAGTAACTCAAATTTCACTTCATTTATATAATGAAGATATTTAATGAATGTTTTCATCCACCTAATTGGTACTGTAGAACAACCTGATGCCAATGTAGCAACTAAGATATAGAAAAAAACATGTTGACTCAAGTTTTTTCTTTAGTTAGACAACGGATTTTTTTTTTTTTTTCTAAAGAAGAATGTGGTATTTCATACCATTGATGAATTTTATAGTTTTGTAATATATTTTTTTAAACTGTACAGAAACATGGTTGGTCTTCTTATTGATGCAGAGTGTTTTCATTACTTTCTGCTCAGTTTATTTCCCAATAGTAAAAAAATGAAGGTCTTGTATTTTACAAAGTTTTGAGTGTACTAGGTTTTCTGCAAAAAAGACTACAGCAATGACTGTGGGTATTAGCTTCTAAACTATCAATTAAACAGCACAACAAATTCTCACATTGAAACATTATTTATCTCTATATATGTCTCCTTTAATTGTGTCTAGTAAGATACAATTGTTTAATTTATTTTTTTGGCAGTCGAAGAGGTACTTCATACATTCCTGTGTGTCCATATAGAGTTTTCACTCCATAGTATGTACTGCCACTTAACTGAATTGATAAATCTTAAGTCAAATAAGCAAGTTTAACTTCTCAGGGTAACTGAATTGCATTGAATTACATTCGTTGTGAGAATTTTAGCTGAACTTTTTCTCATCAATAAGTCTGCAATCCTTTACTAAGAAACTTTGCCTATGAAACTCTCTTGGGGTTTACTAAATGAATTTAAAGCAATACAGATACCTTCCAAATCCCATAACAGAATTCACTAGTATGCCAAATAAGCTGGAAAAATTCTGTAAGTAGGGAAAGGCAATTCTTGTTGAATTAATGAAAACTGAAAATCCTGAATTCTCTGGTTGCTTATAGCCTGACTCAATAACAATCTCTGAACAAGTAAGTTAGAAAAAACAATAGAAAGTGGGTTGGCCAACTATAGAATGTTGGCCGACTACAATAAATGAAACAACAAAATTATTTTAAAAAAATTAAAGAAAGCAATTCTGAAATGAGGTACTTCAACCAGGAAAAGAACCATAGGGACCGACAAAACCCCCTCTCTTCCCTCCCCCCCAAAATATTTATATATAATTCATGTTATTTAAGATGCACAAATGACTGTGGTTCTTTTACTGAAAACTAGATCACCACTTTCCTTGCTGCAGAGAGAGATTGATTGATTCTGATTATTGATTTAATTATGATTTCCTTACTACACAGGAGAGATCTGAACCAAACTTCAAAATCTAATGCTCTAGCATGCAGGAGTGGGACCCAGAATCCAAAGCCAGAGATGTGCAAGTGGGCCTTTTTCATTTAGTAACACACTAACGTATATTAAGATTCCATTGTTGAGTTCTGAGAAAAAAAAAAAAAAAGACCTTCAAAGACCTTTAAAAAACCTGTATCAGTTTATCTATACTGTATCTGAAAAATAAAAATATATATGTATTTCAAACATTGTATCTTAAAATCTGTGGTAAAAAAAAGAGAAAGAAAGGAACTGATACTGATATAATCAGATAGCTTGATTTCAAATTCTCTACCCATCTGCTGACTGCATCTACATATCTAGGTGAAAAATTATACTTTGGTTACTTTGACCAGGTATTGTAAAAAGTTGGTGAGAGTGAATCCAGAATGTGAAGTAACAGGTTCTATTTAAATAGAAATAAATAGATACAACAATAATAGAAAATATACACTGCATTTGATGAGCTATCCCATCATTTTCAAAAGCTTCAGTTGTGTATATTCTAACAAAGTAAATGCAGTAGTACACAAAATATATTTTCCTACTTGTTTTCTGGACATTACAAGATAGGATGAATACCTTTCATTAATAAACTTGTTTGTTTTTAAGAATGCTTTCTGCATTTAAATCTAAATATTATAAGTTTTAACATTTCTTCTAGCATTTTTTTCACCCTGGCCCAACTTCTCATTTGTGTCTGATTCTTTATGATGTTTTTCCACAAACATCAAACATCATAACATCACTTAACCACATTGTCTTTTTTTTTTTTTTTTTTTTTTTTTTTTTTTTTTTTCTGGGAACACAGCAAAATAATTAGTAATCATGTTGGCTATATAGAGAGTGGACCAAATTTCTAAAGAGTTGTACTTCCTCTCTTCAATTTGAATCAGAAATAAAACAAAATCAACATGTTTAATTATTAAATGTCAGCTTTTCCCTTCATTTTTAAAAATATGATTTTAAACCTAAATTTCTGATTCCAAATTGTAATCAAAAACTCACTTAGAAAAGAACAAATAATATTCAGATGGACTTTCAAGTACACCTCCCATTCCTACAAGTTTCAAATGTTCTTCCTCTATACTTGCTTTTCTTTGATTGTATTTCCCAACAAGACAAGCTTTTATAGAATGATAGGCATTTTTCTGAACGCAGCTCATATTTATTACATAAGCCCAACCACCTTCCAAAACCCAAGGTTTCTCTTTTCACTAGGTGATCTGAGAGGTCTTTTCCAACCTAGATGATTCTGTGATTTTTTTAGCCATGTGAGCAGAAGCATTCCTTAAAAGCTTCTTGTTGTTGTAATACAGATAATACAAAATGATACAAGATGATGACTGTATTTGTGCTTGTGTTCAGAGTTAGCATACAAGTCTTTGATCAAAAGTGAGATTGTATCATGATTTATAACAGGTTCCTTAAATTACCATTGTTTTCAAGCTTGGACTGTTTCTGTGTTTATATATTTATTTAAACGGTTTTGACCTTCAGAACTTGGATTGTAACTCACTGATTTTATTTTTCCTGCAAATGAAGATGTATTACTTTTTAATTTTCAGAGTATCTGAAATCATTATTCTCAGATTCATTTCTGTATTAATATGAGTTCCATATTTTTTGTCTCAATCTGTTCACAGAGCAGCATACAAAGCTATAAACTCTGGAGCATCCCTGCTAAATGAGTTGTTTTCTATGTTATAGGAAACATATAAATTCCTCTGAAAAAAAAAAAAGTTTATTTTTTGCTTTTAATCCTGATCATATTTTTTCAATTGGTCTATTATTAAACCAAATATTTTTATTTTTTCTTCACAACAACCAAATTTTTATAGCACTTGTTTTCTCTTTCCTTACTTTCTAAAATGAGTTTTAGAAAAAAGAGGATTGTGGGATTTCTTTTTTTCTTGTCTTCTATAGTGCTGAAGAGCCTTTAGAAAAGACTCTAGTCCTTTTTCATTTGTCTGTTTATCAGATTATTATTAATTATTATTAATAGTATTATTGCTTTTCAACAGCATTTTGGCATTATTCCAAAATATTGGAATTGAGCTGTAGTTCTTAATTATGTGCACCTTTTAAACTTGTAATTTAATTGACATAATATTAACCACTCTTCTTCTGGCCTGTAAGCAATAGCACCCCAATCCTCTTCTGCTGTAGTGCAGTGGAAAACTGGCTTCTGGTAACAATTTGACAATTATAATAAAAATTATCAATTGTATATAATTATAATTATAAAAACAATTCAACACTTTTTGCAGATATTATTGTATGTCCCTTTTGATTACATGGTATCCAATGCAAAGAATAACCATAATCCTAGAACCAGCATTCATTAAGTACAATTTCCTTTAATTGTAGAAAATACAAACACAGGCTTGACTAATGTGAATTAGCAGTGCTCTGAAAGGTGGAAGAAAGCTGATAGGAAGAGCTGACAAATATGAAAGTAAGATGGAAGAGCTGGACAGATTTAGCTTCTTAGCAAATAATTATCCCCAAGCTGTGCAAACTTCTTACATAAATCCTTAATTTTTTATTTATTTATTTTATTTTTTTTTATTTCAGCATGAAAGTGACAATAACTGTAGTTCATATGCCAGCAGCTTCCACAGGAAGGCATATCTCGCTGGCCTTGGTCTCATCAACACCAACAGCAGTACGTCTCCACTATTTCTACCAACTTGTATCCTTTATGAACCAAAACACGTTAAAGGAATATAGAGAATAAATATTTAGGTTTGCTTAGGATCACACTGATGTCTGCTTTTTGTGGGCTCCAGTTCCAAGCTTAGGATTCTGAGATGATGAAGGTTCAATGTGGTCCACTGCTTAAAATATTGGTTTTACAGCAATGCATAAGGAAGACATGCTTTTCTCCTAAGAAGAAAAGTTGGCTTCTGTAATAGTTACAAAGCCAGACAAATTGGTATTGAATGCACTTATTTGTACTTATTTTGAGATGTTTCCCTCCCCCCCCCTTTTTTTTTTTTGTAATTTATAATGATTATATAATGATTTCTTTCTCTTTATATAAAAAAAAAATGTATGCATGGACAAACACATAGTTGGATAAATATATATTTCCACACATATACTTCATCCAGAACAGGCAATTAAATTAAAATAAGCTAGCTCCAGGATGAGGAAAGTTCAAGCCAGAATGCTATTTGACTACAGGATATAAACATTTTAAAATCATCATATTTAAGGTTTTTCAACAGATAATATTTCTTGGTGTTGGGAAGAGGTTTCTAACATCCCTGACTGTACAGATCACCTGCCTATTGAATAAATGTCTCTCCACTGAAAATTTCATCCTGATGCACTGAACCTGGAGCTATAACCAAAGAAAAAAGCAGATTATAGGATTTTTTATTGTGCAATTTAGAAATAACATTTCTAAATTATTGTAAATTTAGAAATAGAAAACAGGATATTGAAGCAACTCCTACTTAAAATGGAGTATGTCAAATTCTTGTGAAGTGCAGAATTTTTATTTAGAAACATTCAATGCAGAGATATTTTAGTCCAATTCTATAATCATCAAAAGAAGGAAGACAAAATTCTGGAACCTGAAAGCAACGTTCCTTACAGAAAACCACCATCAAGATACATGCTGAAATGCAAGGCAAGGAAAGGGGGATGGAGGGATTTCCTTGTGATTTAACGTCCGAAGAGTTTGTCATGTTATATATATATTTGCACCTCTTGATAAAAGCCACAGACTAAATTATCTCTCTTTTATTAAGTTTCCAGAAAGAAAGAAATAGAATAAATTAATATTAGAAATATTAATTATTGTAACATGAGTGACTTTGTTAACATCTTCTGTGAATCATATTTATGTTCAGTTATTCTCCTGGTTCCCTTCTTTTTTCACATTTCCTGGCTTTGAGATGAAATTGTGCTTTTCATTTAGCATGCACTAATTTCTACTAAGAAAAAAATAAAATACAGAAGTGAGAGAAATTTTGAATTTCAACTCTGTGCATGTTTGGGAGGTCACAGAGACATAACTGGGGCACAAATCTTCAAACTGTATTCCACTGTGGCTGCTTTCTTATTTCTATCTCCCAATGAAATATTAAGTCCCTTCTCTTGCTGTGATGCTGAGACTGTTCCAAATTTCTTGTGAAACCTGGTTTTCCTGAGTTTAATTAGTCAATGCTAGTAGATTAAATTTACTGGCATTAGTTTACAGCTATAGGCTCTTCTTATTCTGTGATTGTATATGTCTGTGAGAGCCTGGGGTACATAATTATTAAATCACCCCATCAGTCTCACCTGTGAAGATGGTGATTGCTGGTGCCAAATTGCTTAGCTCCTAAATGCTTACATTGGGAATGCTTGAATGTTTTCTGTCCTTTTTTTTTTTTTTGTTCACAGCACAGTGATTTTTTTTTTTGACTTACAAATAAATAAATAAAAATCCATTTCATCTCAAAGATTAATTAGAGTCTGCTCATGTAACTTAGCAGAATATCTGTTAAAAAAAAAAAAAAAAAAAAAAAGTACAGTCAGTAACAATAACCATGTCTTTGAATAGTCCTGATTGTGATGCCTTGGGAAGAAGACATAGGGTATAGTCCCTCATAACAGTACATTAAAAAGTCACTGCCAGAGGGGAAGGGATAACTAAGGGTGAGTCTATTATCAGTAGGAATGTCACAGCAGAGGAAGCTCTGTAAATGTATGGAAGGTTGTCCATCCAAAATAAACTTAAAACAGTATTTTTCAGGTAAATAACTTAGTCAACTACAACATACATGTATATGCTACATATGTTTTAGCAACAAAACAAAAATCTTTATCCCAACCCTTTGTAAATGGTGTGATGGTTCTCAGTGACATTATTGTAATTAAAAAAAATTCTGTAATGAGGCACTATAGAGAGTCTTTCGATGTTGTAGAACTCGAGGCTAGGAATGACAAGATCGAGTCCCTTTGGGTTAGGATCGGCAGGGACAACAAGGCTAGTGTCCTGGTCGGGGTCTGCTATAGACCGCCGAACCAGGATGAGGAGATGGATGAGGAGTTCTACAGGCAGCTGACAGAAGTTGCGAAATCGTCGGCGCTTGTACTCGTGGGGGACTTCAACTTCCCTGACATATCCTGGAAGCACAACACAGCCCAGAGGAAGCAGTCTAGGAGGTTTCTGGAGAAAGTGGAAGATAGCTTCCTGACGCAGCTGATTAGTGAACCTACCAGGGGTGGTGCCCTGCTAGACCTTCTCTTCACAAACAGAGAAGGACTGGTGGAGGATGTGATTGTCGGGAACAGTCTTGGGCAGAGTGACCACGAAATGGTGGAGTTCACTATTCTTGGCGGGGCCAGGAAGGGAACCAGTAAAACCAGTAAAACCACTGTATTAGACTTTCGGAGGGCTGACTTTGGGCTGCTCAGGACACTAGTTGGTGGAGTCCCATGGGAGGCGGTTCTGAAGGGCAGAGGGGTCCAGAAAGGCTGGGCGCTCTTTAAGAGGCAAATCCTAATGGCGCAGGAGCGGTCTGTCCCCATGTGCCCAAAGATGAGCCAGCGGGGAAGAAGACCAGCCTGGCTCAACAGAGAATTGTGGCTTGAGCTTAGGAGAAAAAAGAGGGTTTATAATCTTTGGAAAATAGGGCAGGCCACTAAGGAGGACTATAAGGATGTAGCGAGGCTGTGCAGGGACAAGATTAGGAAGGGCAAAGCTCATCTGGAGCTCAATCTGGCTACTGCTGTTAAAGATAACAAAAAACGCTTTTATAAATACATCAACACAAAAAGGAGGACTAGGGAGACTCTCCATCCTTTACTGGATGCAGGGGGGAAACTTAGTTACAAGAGATGAGGAAAAGGCGGAGGTGCTTAATGCCTTCTTTGCCTCAGTCTTTAGCGGCAAAACCGGTTGCTCTCTGGATACCCAGTACCCAGAACTGGTGGAAGGGGACGGGGAGCAGGATGTGGCCCTCACCATCCATGAAGAACTGGTTGGTGACCTGCTACGGCACTTGGATGTGCCACAAATCGATGGGGCCGGATGGGATCCACCCAAGGGTACTGAGAGAACTGGCAGAGGAGCTGGCCAAGCCCCTATCCATCATTTATCAGCAGTCCTGGCTATCGGGGGAGGTCCCAGCTGACTGGCGACTAGCAAATGTGACGCCCATCTACAAGAAGGGCCGGAGGGCAGACCCGGGGAACTACAGGCCGGTCAGTTTGACCTCAGTACCAGGGAAGCTCATGGAGCAGATCCTCTTGGGAGTCATCATGCGGCACTTGAAGGGCAAGCAGGCGATCAGGCCCAGCCAGCATGGGTTTATGGAAGGCAGGTCCTGCTTGACTGAACCTGATCTCCTTCTACGACAAAGTGACGCGCTGGGTGGATGAGGGAAAGGCTGTGGATGTGGTCTACCTTGACTTCAGCAAGGCTTTTGACACCGTCTCCCACAGCATTCTCCTCAAGAAACTGGCTGCTCTTGGCTTGGACTGGCGCACGCTTCGTTGGGTTAGAAACTGGCTGGATAGCCGGGCCCAAAGAGTTGTGGTGAATGGAGCCAAGTCCAGTTGGAGGCCAGTCACTAGTGGCGTCCCCCAGGGCTCGGTGCTGGGGCCGGTCCTCTTTAACATCTTCATCAATGATCTGGATGACGGCATTGAGTGCACCCTCAGTAAGTTTGCAGATGACACCAAGCTAGGTGTGTGTGTCGATCTGCTCGAGGGTAGGAAGGCTCTGCAGGAGGATCTGGATAGGCTGCACCGATGGGCTGAGGTCAACTGTATGAAGTTCAACAAGGCCAAGTGCCGGGTCCTGCACCTGGGGCGCAATAACCCCAAGCAGAACTACAGGCTGGGAGAGGAATGGTTGGAGAGCTGCCAGGCAGAGAAGGACCTGGGAGTGATGGTGGACAGTCGGCTGAATATGAGCCAGCAGTGTGCTCAGGTGGCCAAGAAGGCCAATGGCATCCTGGATTGTATCAGAAACAGTGTGACCAGCAGGGCTAGGGAGGTGATCGTCCCCCTGTACTCGGCTCTGGTGAGGCCGCACCTCGAGTACTGTGTTCAGTTTTGGGCCCCTCGCTACAAGAAGGACATCGAGGTGCTTGAGCGGGTCCAAAGAAGGGCGACGAAGCTGGTGAGGGGCCTGGAGAGCAAGTCCTATGAGGAGCGGCTGAAGGAGCTGGGCTTGTTCAGCCTAGAGAAGAGGAGGCTCAGGGGTGACCTTATTGCTCTGTATAACTACATTAAAGGAGGCTGTAGAGAGGTGGGGGTTGGCCTGTTCTCCCATGTGCCTGGTGACAGGACGAGGGGGAATGGGCTAAAGTTATGCCAGGGGAGTTTTAGGTTAGATGTTAGGAAGAATTTCTTTACTGAAAGGGTTGTGAGGCACTGGAACAGGCTGCCCAGGGAGGTGGTGGAGTCACCATCCCTGGAAGTCTTCAAAAGACGTTTAGATGTAGAGCTTAGGGATATGGTTTAGTGGGGACTGTTAGTGTTAGGTTAGAGGTTGGACTCGATGATCTTGAGGTCTCTTCCAACCTAGAAATTCTGTGATTCTGTGATTTGATCTTGAGCACATTTTTTGGGGTAGGAACATTTAGACAAGGCAACTACAATGCTTTCTGTTAAACTAACTGAAAATTCCCTTCTGAAATAGTGGAAAATTTGCTCAGCTTTAATCAGAAACAGCTCTGAACACGATTGGCATTAAAAATGAAGCTAAACTTTTCAATATAAATGTTGCAGGCTGCTTAATTTATACATTCAGTGCATTGAGAAGACACAAGCTGAGTTTGGATGCAAGCATTTTCACAGATGTATCTGCACATGGGCATATTACAGACTTATCTTTGTATAAAGTAGTTATGGGTAATTATATTTTCTATTGTATGTAGAGTTAAGCACAACAGCAACATTAATACTAACTAAGCTTGAAAAACAATTTCATGAGTTGAAATTTCAACTCAGGTGCGAGATAGGAGAGTTGTAGCTGTCCAGATCAAGTTAACAAAAGTTGATGATTTCCAAGAGAGGGATCTGGGGGTCGTGGTAGACAGCAAGTTGAATATGAGCCAGCAGTGTGCCCTGGCAGCCAGGAGGGCTAACCGTGTCCTGGGGTGCATCAAGCACGGCATCGCTAGTAGGTCGAGGGAGGTGATTGTCCCGCTCTACTCTGCGCTGGTGCGGCCTCACCTCAAGTACTGTGTGCAGTTCTGGGCACCACAGTATAAAAAGGACATGAAACTGTTGGAGAGTGTCCAGAGGAGGGCTACGAAGATGGTGAAAGGCCTGGAGGGGAAGACGTATGAGGAACGGCTGAGGTCATTGGGCCTGTTCAGCCTGGAGAAGAGGAGGCTGAGGGGAGACCTCATCACAGTCTACAACTTCCTCGTAAGAGGGTGTCGAGAGGCAGGAGACCTTTTCTCCATTAACACCAGTGACAGGACCCGCGGGAATGGAGTTAAGCTGAGGCAGGGGAAGTTTAGGCTTGACATCAGGAGGGGGTTCTTCACAGAGAGAGTGGTTGCACACTGGAACAGGCTCCCCAGGGAAGTGGTCACTGCACCGAGCCTGTCTGAATTTAAGAAGAGATTGGACTGTGCACTTAGTCACATGGTCTGAACTTTTGGGTAGACCTGTGCGGTGTCAAGAGTTGGACTTGATGATCCTTAAGGGTCCCTTCCAACTCAGGATATTCTATGATTCTATGATTCTAAGTAAATGGTTAGGGTCTCTCAGCTGATCCTTTCCTCATTGCTAAAAACAGGTTGATGTTATGTCACAGATGGCTAGTTTGTGTTTAAAAATAAAATAAAATAAATTCTCAGCAGTAGTCCTAAAATCATACTATGTTTCTTCTAGTCTCATAGTGTCACAAGAATAAATATGGTGTCACAATATTCCAAGTTACATCCTTATTTCCTTGGGTTTCATTTTGTCCTGTTATCTCTGAATAATACGTTTTCTTTTCAGTCATGTGAAGGATTTGT